TAATATATACAGATGTAGATCAATCTTTAGCATAAAGCATATATAAGAATGTACAGTTACAAAGCTTGTGTCTTGTTGTTTGAACGAAGGGTATTTGACACCATGACAAAACAAGGTTTGTGTGTGCTTAGTGTGTGTGTTGTGTTGTGTGTGTGTGTGTTTAGTGTGTGTGTGTGTTCGTTTTTGTTGATGACGCCTTGCATTTGAAGTGCATGCAAAGTTTTGTTGTGCATTTGCCACGTTTTTATTTTAGAGAGCATTTCATGTGGCTTTCCCGCACCGTGTGCGTATATCTCCATTTCTGGGTGTGTTTGTGTGTAGCCCACCCCGCCCCTCTGTGTTGGTAGACACCTGCTGCTGGCATGGTAATTTTAGACTGTGCTTGAGCCACATACTTGTCTGTATGTATGTCGGTTGAGACACGTTAGACAAACAAGCGTTGTTTGTGAAACACACTGTTGATTCTCGCTGGCAGCTGCAATTGCCACACGGCGTATGATGAATCTTGCCGTCTATTATGTCTATCTATCTTTCACTTTGTAGCTCACTTAGCATTTGATTTGCGCTTTTCGAGATTCATTCATTCAGACTGACTTATTTGCCCACACTTTTATTTCCAGGCCCATTCTCATTTTGGTGTTTGGTTTGCTTACTCTTTTGCTGGTCTGTTTGCTTGTTTGCTTGCTTTGTGCTTTTGTGCGCTCAATGAATGAGTTCCGCTAGCCCGAATGTTAGGTCAAGAGTTGATTCTAAAATGTGCAAGAGGATTGCAGCAAGTTTCGGATAGACAATGAAAAAATATATGTACTTGAAAAAAATAATTCAATTACGTTTCCCATTTGGAGTTTTCTATGCGATTTTCAGTTAACAGCTTACGCACCCACGTGCACATTCAATAGAACGTTAAATTTACCCTCATCGAAAGTGCCCCAATATAAATTTTGTGTAATTAAAATTTTGGTTTAATTGAAATTTTTTAGGGGTGCTTTGTAAAAGTTCTAGCTGAACCACTTCAAGTCAATTAAAAAGTTAAATTACATTTATCAGCTATGTGTTCTCATTATTACCATACCGTCATAATTATCGCCATCATCAGCATCATCATCGTCATCACCCTGCGTATCCCCATCATAAGCCTATCATAATTATTCTTCTCAGAAATTTTTAGGCTGGTATTTCAGAGTTGCGGAATTGTTGTGGAATGCAAAATTGAAATGAGTTTTCGTATCTGACTTGGCAATTTGAACTACATTTGGATGCATGCTCTTGGTCTGTTGGTCGCTGGGTGATAGACAGCATTTTATTTGCTATATTCAATTGAAATATTAAAAATTTAAAAATCAAATAATGTCTAAAAATTACAATGTTATCCTATTGCTAAAATATTGTGCGACTTAATTGAATAGTGGCATATATATTTTCATTTATTGTAATTAGTTTTCATTTTGAATGACTGTGTGATTTAGTTTTGTTATTACCGTGTTTGTTATAATGCCACAATGATGTATGCATATATAAAGTATCTATTAACTTTTGTTGTTGCCTACTGGATTCTTGATTAGCTGAAAAAAGTATAAATGGGTCTGCATATATTCACCAAGTTTTCACATCATTTTCTCAGTCCTTCCTGCAAAGTTTTTTTTGGAGTATTCCCTTTCTTCATCTCCAGTATAATAGTCCATTAGATACTTCAGAATAAAGCTTAAAGCAAATTTGGCCATTAAAGAAGATTCAGCGTAATGTTATTCCTTTTTCATTCTTTTTTTTATTAATATCCCAGGCAAAAACAGCCTTAATTTAACAAGGCTGAAAAGCTGGGTATAAGCATGTTTATTACTACCATAAATGTATCTCAACAATGTATTTTTATGAGGCAGCCAAAAAATGTTCATAATAAATACTTCAAAAGAATCACATTTTTTTTCTTACACAATAGAAAAGTGCTGAAATTAAGTTTTTCCTTTAAGCATTTGAGAGCAATGCTAAAAACAATCATCGTATCCATCAAGTACACAGCCATTGTTCATTTCTTTGCTCAGTGGCTGCTTCAACGATAGATGTATCAATGGCAAAGTAAACATTTCATCATCAATGCCATCATTTCGCCATACAGCTAGCTATGCACTGGTATTAGTAACTTTATCCATTCATGTCCAGTCACATAAAAATACATCATCAGAGTCAGAAGGAGACGGCACGGAACGGAACGGAACGGGACGCGGCGAGGCGAGACGAGACGAGAACCGAAGGGACTCGCAGAGCTTTGCAACTCATATCTTTAAACTTGCGTCAGCTGTGTGCTTATCGATGCTGCTGCAGGCTATGCATCCATTTCGTTTTTTCTGCTTTTCTACACTTTGCTTCCCAGCCCTTGCAAAGTTCAATAAAGTTTAACGCATTTCTCCCGTCATGCACTTTGCTTCATCATCAATTTTTATTGAAATTGACACTAGCTGGACGGCAGAGTGGTCGACAAAAAAAGGGGGTGGGAAGAGGCTTGACGGGTTTGAGGTAGGACGTGGGGCGTTCTGGCGGATGGTGTGTGTGTGTGTGTGTGTGTGTGGAGTGAAATTAATAACTGTTATATTTTGCCAGGGACACTTTTAATGAGCAGCAACTCGAGCAGACAGGAAAATGAGTGTTTGCCTCGCCACGCCCCGCCCGCCTCGTGTCTGCAGCACATAGCTTATAAACTTGCTAATTGGATTAGATTCAACGATATGAAGTAAATTCATTAAATATAATTTTTCCTACATGTTTGTCACATCTCTTGCGCTGAGTGAAAATTTTTATTAAAAATTTATTGCGAACTTTTGGCCAACCAGCTCTGCAGCACTGTAGCTGTTTGCACCCAGCTGTTTCCCTGCTACTTACAAGCAACCGAAGAATTCTCAGAGACATAAAACAAAAGCAATGTAAAAAAAAAAACAAAAACAAAACAGTTAATAAAGCAAGAGAGAAAAGGCAATCGCAGTAACAGCAACAAATGGCAAACAGCTGCGACTCTGCAATGATGTAAGAGTATGCGTGTGTGTGTGTGTGTGTGCCTGTGTGTGTGTGTGAGCTTTTAAGCGCATTTGTGTGCAGAAAAGATGACTGAGAAGATGTTCAACTGGTTTTGTGGGCCAATAAAAGACAACAACAGCCAACGAAGCGAGGCGAAATGAAAACAAAAGTAAACAGCGCGCAACGAAAGAGCACAACAACAACAACAACAGCAACAACAACAATAAGCAGAGCGACTAAGACAAAGGCAAAAGCAATAACTGCAAATAGCATGCGAAAGCCAAAAACATCAATTCAAATACCTTAATAAATTGAGTTAGTAAGTCAACTCAAAATTGAGTTAAAGCATATTGAATACATTTTGAGGAAGGGGGGCGCTCTAATGAAATCGTGAGTGGATGGATGCATTTATTGCGTATTGCTGGCCAATAAATATTGCATAAGTGAATCAAATCAAATGAAGTTACAATATCAAGCACTCAATAAAAAGTCTGTACACATTTGGTATTTACCAGCCAAAGAGTGAATCAGAGTGACTGCAAATGGGACAATCAATTTTACACTCAAAGAAAATGCATTAAATGTGAAAGATTATTAAGATAACAATTTGAATTGCACATTTTTTGATAGAAAATCAATCGAAGTTTGAATGTGAAAAAAAGAATGTATTCCAAATATAATTTGAAAAGAATAAAATTTAAATAATTGTGTATAATTGAATACAATTGATAAAAGCAGTTGGCCAACTTTGGAGCTCGCATAGAAATATCAAAGCTACAGCTGCCTATAGCAAAAGGTCAACACTCAGTTACGAACAGTTGGCCAAAGGTCACTAATGGCCTTGTCAACAATCAATAAGCAGCGCTGTTTGATCATCGAAAAGGTTATTTGTACATCGTAAACTTTTATTGATAGATACATATTGAATATATATAATTCATTTATATTTTTCCATTTTATAACGTATTTCTAGTAAGTACTTAAATTTCTACCTACTTAGGCAAGTTCATGATTAATGCAGCCTCGGTAGACTTAAAGCCAAACACTGCCAATTTCTGTATGGAATTTTATGGTTTACGCTTAAGAATTAGGAGCACAAACCACGCATCTCATCTTATCTGTTTTACGACTGATTTTTAGTGCTCGTCGTAATGTCAGTCATTATTGTGGGACTGTTTAATGACTGTCCCATGGCTCATTCATCTCGCAAAAGCAAATCTTCAGTGAATTTATGCGCTTTTCTAATTTGCTTCTTGGTCGCCTAATGGATGAGCCCAGAGGCATAACAATGGCCAAAACAGTAGGGGCCAATTAGTGGGTTAAAGCAACAAAAGTAATTGAAAGCTCTAATGGATATGGAAGTTTATTAAAAGAATTAATTACTTTTAAGATAGCAAGCTTTGAGTAATCTTAACTGAACTGAAAGCTTAAGAGTTCTGTAAAATCAAATACTGATTTAAGTTGGATTTGAATAAGAAATACTTTGCATGCTTTTAATACAGACTTAAATACAGTTTTAATCAGAGCTTTTAAAGTTAATTTTCTTGCAGATTGTCTTTAGTATAATCAAACAAGATAAAATAGCTAATGTGTTGAAAGCACATTAAAAGCTTTTGGATTGGAGCTTACCATCAAAGCTGCTTACAGCTTTACAGTTTGCAAAAGCGATCATTAAAAGAACTGTCTGCGATTGCATGTTGAATGGAGTTGATGAAGTACGAATAGTTAACCATGGCTTAAATAGTGCCAAAAATAAACACCGCTAAATATCTAAATCAAATAAATCAGTTCAAGATCAAATTCAGATTTAGAAGTGGAGTTTCAAGCGAGTAAACCACAAATAAATTAATAATAGAATTGTTTATGTCAGTTTTAAGATTACAATTATTATCTTTCAAAGCTCATCTATTATATATATTATTTCACAAATATAGCAAGCCTACTTAACAATTTACTTTAATGAAGTCACTTTAACTCTGTTCCTCTTCTCTTAGCATCAGTTGGAATGCGCCGTTGAATGCATAATGGAAACGCCTGTAACAATCATGTAAAATTGCGTTAACAGCAAATGGATGGAAATGGAGCGTAGCGAGGAGCGGCAAGGAGCAGTAGCACATCAAATTGGTATTAGAGGTTAACAAGCATCGAGGAGGCGGCGGGCAACAGTTCGTGAACAAGTGAAACTTGGGTGTGTGGGCGTAACCAAGTTGAGCGTGGAAGAATAAACGTTCGCTGCAGCCAAGCTGCCAGCTGCCAGCTGCCTGTGCAACATAAAAGTCAATTAATGTACAATTACAACAACAATTACAACAATCGCTGGTGAATCAGTGAACGTGGCGACACGAAGCAGCAACTAGAATCCACAATCTTTCCCTGCTCTCTCTCACTCTCTCTCTCTCTCTGTCTCTCTCTGTCTCTGTCTCTCTGTGAATCACCCAAGAGCGGAAGCGGCTGGCAACAAAAATTTTTTGCAAATTACACGCAACGTAAGCTGAGGAGGCGTTCTGCGTTCTGGGGTCTGAGCCTGAGAGTGGGTAAGGTTGAGCAACTTCTTGTGGATGGTAGAGAAATCAGCAACAACAGCAGCAGCAGCAGCAGCATTAGGAGCAGCAGCAGCAGCAATCCAACGTCCGGTGGCGGCCACAAAATGACTTTCGTTAACAAGCTGAGCAAGAGCTTCCGCTGGTTGCGCTGCTCGACATTGTGCGCCATTTTGTTTTATATGTTTTTCATTGGCCTCATATTGCACAGCACCAGCCACAAGCTGCAGCAACACCAGCAGCAACAACAACAGCAGCAGCAACAACAACAACAGCAGCAACAACAACAGCAGCACAGCTCCATTGAGCTTACTCAGACACTAACTCTGGCCAAGTCGTTGCCCAATGAGGGCCGTAATAGTCGCGACCAGCAGCAGCATCAGCAGCAGCAACATCAGCCTGAGGAATTGGAGCAACAACACAAACAACGGCAACAAATGCAGCAACAGCAGCAAAAACAACACCAAGCGCCAAAGCAAAAGCTAACGACGAACAATTTGGTAGTGGGTAATGCCCAGACGAAGGAGCAGCAGCAGCAGCAGCAACGAAAACTGCAGCCGATAGCTGCTAATGCAGTGGGTGTCGAGAGAGAAAAAGGAGGAGGCGTCGGTGGCAGTAAGTCGTCGCAGCCACAGCCCGAAACAGTTATATTAACGGCCAGCAATGTGAACGAGAAGCAAATACTTGCCAAAGCTTTCAAACGGTAAGTTACGTCCCAGAGTGGAGTGCAATGGGCATGGTCTCCATGCTCTCCATGCTCTCCATGGTCTCCGCGGGCGCTCTTTTCTCTCCTGACAGTTCCGCTGCACAGTTTGGCTGATAATTTGGTGCTAGTTTGGCGGCTTTTTCATTGTAGCCCCTCGGCAATTGTTCACACAATGATATAGATAGCATGCCAGTGGAAGAGAAAGGGAGATAGTTACAGATAGTGAGAATGATTGAGAGATAGAGAGAGTAGGAGTATTGGTGATGGAAAAGAGGGAGATTCTGCGACTATGCCATTAAATTGGGCCATCACAGTGCGTGCCATAATTGTGTGTACGACAAATTGTGAAATTTATGACAACAAGCTTGACATGAGCTTGCTGATTTAACAGCCACAGCAACAGCAACAGCAGTTGACGGATGTTGCTGTGGTCTAAAGGTGCTTTTTGGGGCCCACAAAACGCGATTTGTTATTTTGAGTGATTGTGATTGGACGCTGGATAATCGGATTAAAGGACCAACGAGTGGCAATCATAATTATTGATTGGGGCACGTGATGACAGTCGCAAATTGAGGCCAATAGAATTTTTGTTATGAGCTTAGACTTTAAGGGAAAAATGCTGTGAGGCATTTCTGACGCAAGTATTTAAATAAATCCACTCAAATGGAAAAAATCTCCTCTTACTCGCATAAATCTTAAAATATTTCGTTTCCTTCGTTATCTATATATCATTTTAGTAGGCAGCCTATTTATTTGCCAGATAAACCACAGGAATTGTGAATGAGGCACTTATGAATAGGCTTTTTGGCCAACATGGCGAATGATTAACGACGTTTAAGGTCAGATGTTGTAGCGCTGGTGATTAAGAAACATTATTACTTATATATTTTGTTTTATTGACCAACTAGTATGTATTTTAATAAAATATATGTGATGTGAAGTCTCTATAAATATAGAAAATTTAGAAATAAATTATTGTGATTTCGTCCAATTAAATTGAATCTAATTTAATTTAATTATGTAGGACGAAAGTCGAAATAGGAGCAAGAGACTAGTTATTGTATTAAATTAAATTAATATAATAAAAAAAGAGTTTCAGGCAGAAGAGTTTCAATATTAGCCATGTTGATATTGGTGTTACTTAATCTGTATTTAACTTTTATATAGCCGTTTTTAAAAGTAACCCATCATCTGTACAACAACAAATCATCTATACATACACAAACAAACGAAAAACTTATTCAATATATTAGGGATAAGCACCAAAAAAATATTTTAATATGATTATATCGACGGCGTGTGGGCTAACTCGACGTATGAGCAACTACCCTTAAGCTTGTAGGCCGTGTGTGCCACATATCGGTGGAGAACCGCCACAACAACAAAAAAACATATATATTTTTTATTATTAATCCCTTGATTGTCGCGATGCGGTGTTAGCTACATATATATATATATATATATAAAAGTTGCCAACAACCACCGCACAAGACAAATTGATTTTTATGTAGAGGTTATCAAGGGATTGGCTTTGGTGCCATAAACTAGTTCATATTAAATGCGTATTTGCGAATATTTTATTTATATTCTATGAAGATATATATACAATTTAAATCATCAAATGATTTAATTAAATACAATTAAGCTTAATTAAATTGTTACATTTTTTGCCCTGTATTTATTCGTATCTAGTTAATAATCAAAATAACGACAAATTCCACAGCAGCGGCAGCGGCATGCGTGCAATATGTGTTTCATATTTAATCCTCAGTCTGATATACGCAAACACAAGCAATTAGCAGCTTGAAACGTTGCATGCCACATTCAGCTCAGCTATCATTAATTCTGATTAAGTATAAATACCATCCTTGCCTGTCCTGCGAGAATAGCCGCCAACGGCATTTAATATAAATGCCATTCCGATGGCCTTATTGAGAGCAGCTGCAATCAGATTCATCATAGCTAAGCAGAGCAATGCGGAAATTCGATTTTAATATTTATTGAATTGAAATAAGCTCAGATCAAAATATTGCCGTTGCTGACGTATTTTATCTGTGTCTCCTCTTTCTTCCAGTTCGCCAAACTTTTTGGTCAAAAGGGAGAAAAATAAATTTGATATTGGAGTGCATTTTAGATTTTGCAGATGTTGGAAAACTTTTTTTTGTTGTTGTATTTGGCTTTTGCTATTTTGCCGGATTTCGATTGGTGTCTCCAAAACTAAGCACTTTAAGTTGCTTTAATACTCAAAGTGTCTAGCAATTATTCGGTCGATTGCGCAGCAGCTATGAAATTGCAATTTAAATTGCATGATTTTAACTTTTCAGCTCAAATAAAGACACATACATATATACATCGAGTGAATTTGGTAAAGTTTTGCATGACCCCACACTTTGGTTATAATTACCCAAATTTCCGAGAGAAGAAACCATATATAGTGGGTAAAGTAATTACAAGCACTTTCTATAACGATTTCGGCTGCACACTTGGGAGCAATTATGTGTATTCAGGCATATAAATAAATATAAAAGTAACTGCCTCCGTCTCCACTTTTATAATGGTCCTTAAGTTAAGCTTTAATACGCCGAACATTTAAAGGCATATCAATTTAAATTCGGCATTTTGACACCAATAAATGTTCTCAAACCTGACAATTGGTAAATATATTTCATATTGATGATTCTAAGGAATAATCTCTTAATAGATTTGATTGAGCAGCTTCTCAATTTAATCTACTTACACTTAATATGATTTTATTATACAACGTTGGAAGTCATTGATTCTTCCGAACAACAAAATTGCATACATTTAATACTTGTCTGATATATCAACATATTATATAAGTAAAATTGTTATTTTATTGAACAGCATATGTCCTATTTTACTTTAAAGCTTAAGCCTATTTTCTTCAATTAATATAGGCACTGTATTGCTAATATATATGTGTGTATAGAATATGCCTTTACATTTTATGTACTAGAAATAATCTCAGCAGCCTTGAAAAGCAATTTTCTTCAGAGCAATTTTGTAAATTTCATTCACTTAAGCACTTGGTAGAGTTTGTGTACCATTAAATCCCTTCGGGCATCTTAAAAGTACGATTCCCCACCACACTGAGACTGATTTCTAAGAAAAGCCCTAAGCTGTTGGTATGCCTGCTGAATAATATGAACTCATTGGCCAAAACATTCACTGTGTGCTGTTGGCTGGGAATTGTTGTCAGGAATGTGATTGCCCAAAAACAGGTGTCAGTTATTAACGTTGTCAATAGGCCCCACACTAAACTTTAACAAACCGCCGAAATAATGGCCAAATGAGTGGCAAGGGGTGTGTTAATGCGTATCTAAGGGATCATTTCATTTGTTGTTGTGTCTGCGTTTGTCTTTTCGGCGCTAGGGGATGAGGATGGGGCCAGGGTTGTGGTGGCTGCACCGCACAGTGGTTTCATTAGCATATAGTTGGGGCATTAGAACTTAAATAAATAAACTGGCAACTAAAGCGATTTCAAGTTAGTTTCCTTCCGCAAAACTTTTGTTGGTTGTTCCTCGCCCCAGCAGCAGTTCCTCATCCGTTTCAAAATCTATGTGCGTTGTGGTCCCTGCCAGTTGAAGTTTGTGTTTCGGTGACCCAAAGGGCGCAAAGCGCGCAAATCCTCGGAAAATAAAAAACCAACAAACAAACCGAAATGCATAGAAAAAAATTGTAGGAAAAAATCTGTTTTGCTTTTGCGCTCTTTCGCATTTTCTACGCACACTTTGGGTGAAAAGTTTTTCATTTAGACTTAATTCTTTCAATTTTTTCGTTTATTTTTTAAAATTTTTTCCAAGTACCCATTAAATCCTTACTGAGAGGGTCTAATAAAATTGTACAAGAAACAGTTGCGATTATATAATGATTATGTATTTATGAAGAGCCCAGTGCGTCAATATTAGAGATTAAAGATAATCCAATTTATGCATCATTTCTGGAACCCAATTGCAGATCTAACTTACTTAAAATTTTTTAATGTATTTGACTGGATGGTGAGGTTTATTTATGATGCATGTATTTTATAAAATTGCTGCAAAAATGTTCACTATAAACTAAAGTAAATCAAGACTATCGCTACAGGACATCTGCTAGTCACACCTTCAGATCAATTTTTTTTTAGCTTTTCTTTTTTGTTGAGAAACAAGATTAAGCTGAGAGAAGCGGATGAGAACAAGGACGAGAACGTGAGATTAGTTTCTAGGCGAAAATGCACTTTGCATAAACCTGCGGTTTTCCCTTTGCCAATTGCAACTGGTAGATATATTTTTTTATGAGACAGCAAAGATTTTGTGAAACGAGATCTTTGGTTTGAGAACGCTTTGAATAGGATTGTGTCAAAGTTGTGCTAGGAACAAAAATACATTAAATGCTTTTAAAATGCTAGAAAGTGAAGACCAACACGACTGAAAGGAAATTTCATGTGTTTGTAAACGAATTGCGGTGAATATTTCATATATAATCAGATAGTTGTTTAAGTTGCGCCGTAAATAAAATTGTGCCTAGATTTCGCACAGATAGTAATTCTGACAAACGTGCCAAAAGAACATGTTGTGGTAGAAATAACAAATCTGAAAGATAAACTGGGGAACATATCTTCGACTGTGTTCCTTTAATGAATGCAACAACGATTTATAGCACTCCCAGCGATCTCTCAAATAAATCAGACTTACACCCAACATTTTGCAAGTCTCAAAAGTCAACTCGCGTCTGCAGATATATGTATACATATTTACCACACGTAGTTGCCATAGTTCTGTTGAAAGTTGTTTAGTCGTGATTCTAGTTTTCCATGTTGCTAAACTAGTGCTGCGTGCTGCATGCAACTTTTGCGCTTGTTTGTGGCATTCTTTGGTGGCCCAGTGGCAACAGAATTGCGGCACTTTTGCGCAGTCCTAAATCAATGTGCCGACCAGCGAAAGGGTGATGCCACGAGTGCCCTAATTGTTATGCTCGGGCACCACATTAAGCAGCCGCGTTTCATGATAACGACAATTCGGTGTGGGTGACCGAATTGTCAGTGCCAGACAACCGAAAGAGGGGAGGTGCTCAATTAAAATTTATAACAATTGTCAACATGGGGCTGTTGTCGTCGCAGTTGCAGTTTCACACAATTTAATTGCCCCTTAAAATGACACTCGCCAATATGCAGGATACCAAGCACGTGGTCACGACCACACTGTTGTAATAAAATATGAATGCAAAAGCCACAAATGATAGCTATTAATGTCATACACGCAATTATCAGAACATTTTTCGGTCAGTTTAATTGGATTTTAATGTCTACACGACGACAAGCCGTTCCCCATTAAACAGTACGCTTCTGATACTGATACTTAATACTTCAAGAACATATTTACAGTTTGTCAAAAAAGCATACTTTATTTAAATACTATTTAAATATCATACAATTTTATACATAAGGCTGCCTCTTGTTTATAACAGCATCAACAATATATTTCTTTTTATTGACTAGGCTAAGTTTGTAATAAAGAAAAAATATACAATGTAGGAAAAAAGCGATCTAAAATAAATTAATGGTGTATGTATTTTTTCCAGCCAATCGGCTTTGAACTCACTTTCAAAAATATGCACATTCATTGGCGACCGGAAAATGAACAATCTACAGTGAGGAAAATGGGTGTTCACGCTTATATAGGCACAAGTTATATATACGCCCAACCAGTTTCTAACTTATTTTCAAAGCATTCCATTAAAATAAATGTATATCGATAGGTACTTAAACGTATTTAATAAATCTGTCACAGCTGTGAAAGATTGTTTGAAAATTGATATTTTCGTATATGAAATAAATGAAATAAAAATCAATGAGCATTCAACAAATATGTATGTGATTGGCAATAACAATCTTAAGTTTTGCTGGAATTGTTCTATTTGCAGAGCGGATCGAAATCATGACGGCCGACTGTCCATACAAGAGCTGGGCCAGTACATAAACAAACGGATTGTCGAGCATATCGATATTGCGATTATGAACAATGCGAGAGAGTTTCGCCGGGTGGACATCGCACCCGCTGATGGACTAATCACCTGGGATGAGTATCATCGTTTCTTTCTGCGTGAACATGGCATGACAGAGGCGGATATTGATGAGCACGACGAGATCAGGCACACGACACTGAATCGTAAGGCGCGCGAGGATATGATGCGTGATAAGGCCCGTTGGTCGGAGGCGGCGCGTACAGATTTATTTACACTGACGATTGACGAATATTTGAGCTTCAGGCATCCGGAATCGAGTGTATCCAATTTGCTGGAGCTGGTTGATGATTTGTTGCGTCAGTTCGATCAGGATGGCGATGATCAGCTGACCCTGGAGGAGTTCTCCGATCTAAATGTCGATGATGATGAGGATTTGCTGCGCAAGTCGCTAATCTCAAAGACACTGGTGGAGCGTCGCGAGGAGTTTAAGCGTATCATCGATAAGAATCACGATGGCAAGGCCGATCGTGGTGAACTCCTTAACTATGTGAATCCGAAGACGCCGCGCTATGCACTCCAGGAGGCGGCCACGCTGTTCAGCTTGTGTGATGAGAACAAAGACGAACTGCTTACACTCAAGGAGGTCAGCAGCATCAGTAATTGAGAAAAGTAATCGTTCTGATTTTTGTTAAACTTTTGGCTTTCCTTACAGATGACTGACAATGCTGAAATATTTCTGCAATCAAAGATGATCGATACAGCTAATAGTTTTCATACTGAATTCTAATTAAACTTTTTTTGCGCTTTCACTTTCACTTTTTGCCGTCCCCCAGCTCACTCTCACACGATCCCAGCTCACGGTGTCCGTCTAAAGGAAGATGAAAAATAAAAACAACAACATTAAAAAAAAACTATATAATCTTTGTGCATTTATAGTGATATTAATTTGTAAGTTGTTGCACGTAATGTTTAATAATCGAATAAATATGATATAATACACACAGTAGTACACAATCTTAACATACATAATAATAATAAGAATAATTTTGTTAGAACTTTGTAATACGTAATCATTAAGAGCAAGAGGCAATTCATTTGATGTGTGATTTGAAATAACAATTTTACTTAAGAATGCAAAGCAAATTGAAAACGAATACTCTAAAAAATATATACACAAAATATACGTAATTTTATGCAACCACATAATAATATAAAGGATTTTATTTGTAGAAACAAGTATTAAGGATGGACTTCATTTTTGAAATTCATTTTAATAAGTATTTAATCTAATCAGTTTTCGTTTAGTTCACAAATTAAAGCCTTTTATTTTACCTTAACATTTGAATCCCCCTTTTTTCGATATACTGTACAAATTGGAAGTTAATTTCGCAAAATCTTTAAGCCTCATAATCTGCAATGTATTCGATGCGTTTACATATTTTTTTTTCAACGAATCAAAGACTTTAATTACGTCCTAACATTTGAATCCTTTTTCCCCCGTACTCTGTACATTTTAGAAATTAATTTCGTAGCGTCTTTAAGCCTCTTAACTTGTTTCCTCTTTCCACTAAACAAACAAATCGGCATCATTAAACATAATCCCATGTTCATGTTGTTGTTGTTGTTCTTGTTGCTGCTGTTTATGTTGGTGTGCAGCAAGATAAATAGGAGGACACAAGTGATAAATAAGTGGCAGTTGAGACCAACGAAATGCCAAAGCAAACCTGTCTATACCTCAATATGTTTGGCAACGTGAGACCTAAACCCAGCCAAAGCCAAAGCTTTGTGAATATCCTTGAGAATTTAACAGTCAATTGACTTACTGATGAGTGTTAATACCTCTTTAATATGCATTGCTGCTTATCTTTGCAATTTTCCATCAGCTTTGAGAAATTATTTCAAAAAGATGCCAGATAAATTGAAAGTTTACGAGAAAGCATCCAACTCAGGATACGTGTCTAGTGCACGTTAAAACTGTGAACAGGAGAGCATATTTTAATGCCAAAACAGTCAAAATTGCTATTAGCAAAAATTCTTCGAAACGGCTCCTGTCAATTAAGGACAGACGAGTGGGTAACTGACTCTAATTATTTGGCAAGCCCACGTAATGAGCAAGTAAAACGCAAGGAATAACATGGCCAGGATATGTCAGACAGGCGGCGCATATATGTGAGTGCTTGTTTGCGTGTGTGTGCGAACATGTTTATTTGTGTGCTGTGCGGAAACGGAAACGTCAAAAGAAACCTTTTGCGATAAAGAAAATAAGCAAACATCAATTGAGTTAAGCAGCGGCGCAGGCACGCAAGGAAAAATACTCGTCCTCGTAGGAGAGATTGCCTATAAAGTATCAAAATTTACGCTGAAGGTCAATGGAATTTATTGTGGTATTCATTTTGTACAATTGTTGTAATTAAATAATAGCAATACTCGGTTCCTTTCAGATTAATGTGATTGATATATAAATTTAAGCTACTTTTGGAATATAAAAATTTCGCAAATCTCTCAATTTAAATTGCACTTTCTCTTGCTCTTATAAATATACAACTAAGTTGTATTCCCAGCTCCATTCAACAACTTTTCTAGCAAACAAAAAAGTTATTTAAGAGTCTGCAGAGTTTTAAATACTTTAATTTCCGTGCACATAATTATCTGGCTCGGCTTAAAATCTGGAAATAGTATATACAAACTATATATAATCTTTTAGAGTGTACATTTGATCTTGGTGTTTATGTTTTTATTGCTTTATTGATAGAAATGTCAGGCCATACAAATATGCTACTTATATCTTCTACTTTTTCCATAATGAGCTGGCAATGGGAGCTGCCGCATAGGTTGTAATGGGAGCTGTGTAGACTCTTGCGGGCGCAGCGGCATAAGTGGTCACAGGTGTTCTGTAGAGAGGAGCGGCAACAGCGGCATAACGGATGGGCGCGATGGCCGAGTAGGTGGCAACTGGAGCAACAGCTGAGTAGGTGGCAAGTGGAGCCACTGCGGCATAGCTGGTGACAGGTGCAGCCAATAGGCCAGCCTGGGCGGCGGCAATGCACAGAGACAAACAGATGAGCAATTTCATATTGATTTGAGTTGAGTTGGTTGGGTTGCGTTGGGTTGTGTTTGGCTTAGTTTGGTTTGTTGACTTGTTTGCAACTGATGCTGTTTGGCAAACAACGTGTCGGTTTTATACCCAGTTGAGCGCTTAGCTGCATGGTCATGAACCCGTTTGCGGCTTAAGTTGCCCAAATAAACCGTCAAATTAGAACTCAATGCCAATTTAAAATTTTGCTTGGTAATGCTCAATCGATACGGATGTCGTCAACTCTACTATGCTTTTAGTGGCATTGTGTGTTATATTCGTAGACAGCATATCATGACACACAGCCATTAAATCATCTTATAATATTAATTAGCCATTATCGACCGATATTTGACAGAATTGTTACGAATTGCAATTAGCATTGTAATCAAACAGGTGCGGAAATTATTTCGTTCGCCTTGAAGGCCATTTGACAATTAATTGAAATTCTGAAAAAGATGTGCACTAAAAATAGGGTCTTTATCTTCTTCTTTACAGTATGTTTATGATCTACATTTGTAAGTTATATTACTATATATATTTTATATATATACGTGCAACATTTTCCAACTCTTTCGCGAGTAATTGTCATTATTTTTAGCCTCGTTTGCCATAAATTATGCGGGTGCTTTTAATGTATTATCAGAGTTGGAAAATTTTCTTTAATTAAAAATCAAATTAAAGCGGTTACAGAAGACATACATTTGGTTGCAGAATAACAAAAAAAATGCCGCAAAGGTTTTTAAAAGCTTGGCACCAGTTCAAGAGATTGGCTTGGATTTGGGAAGCTATAAATAATTAAGTATAAAAGCCGCAAAAAAGAAATTCGAGCAATTAAAATAATTATGTTTGCTCTGTTTATCTGTGCTTAAGATACTATAAATTTGTAATCAGCTTATTCAGATACACATAATCTACAAAATAGCATATTAAATATGGAGGACAACTAAAGTCGTAGCAGAGCAGCACTGTATCCATTGTCATGCACTTGGCAATATATTTGACTGTCATTATTTGACATTACTTGAACAATGTCTGGTGTAAGCTTGCATGTGGGGTATTCATAAATTGAGTTAGTAACATAAAACAAATGGCAGCAGGCTAACTTAACGAGCCGCAAAAAATGTGCTACATTCTGCACAAGGGCTGCACTGTGTGTAGGTGTAAGGGTGTACTGCGTGTGTGTGTGTGTGTGTGAGTGTGTGTGTGTGTGTGTGTGATATAAAATGAAGTCCCTATCTGGTAGCCTTACATTTTTGCCATACAAGTGTTTTGCATTATTAGGAGAGCAGCAGCAGGAGCAGGACTATGAAGGGAAATACTTGGAGAGCTTGGTGGTAGAATATGTTGTACACGTAAGTTACATTAGTCAAACTGGTTTTGGCAGTAGAAATTTGTCGAGCATGCCAAATGCTTCGCAAAAGCGTCAGACACTCAGTCCAACGCGGTTAGCCAAGAAATTACGGAAGAGCTGTGCCAAAACAAGATAAAAAAAATAAACCAAAAAGAAAACCAAAATAAGTCTGTAATTCAAAAAGCCTGAGAACCTGCATAAATATGCTAGACACATACACAGCCGCTACTATCTGTGACTCTATTTATTTGTGTGTGTGTGTTTGCCATAAATGCTTCATCTTCAACTCATACATATTAAAATCTCAGAAAATAAACTTCAACAGTTCACAAAACAAAAGCAAAACACAAATAAATAAACTGGCACAAATACAAAACACATGCAAACATACATACACTCACTGGCTCGGCTCAAGGGAAGTAACTAAGGGTGGCATGGCTCATGCATTTTAAAATCCAGCCATTAGAATACTGTGCTTTATTTGGTATGCAGAATATTATTTGAGCACGTTTTTGGCGCCTGACATTGCATTTAACATTTTACATGCATAACTGAAAAACCACCAGAAGACATCAGAAGCCAAAGAACTGAAAAATAAACTTTAAGCAGTTTTGCTAACTCTGTTGTTGTCGTCTCAGATATCAGACTAATTAAATGTTTTAAGGTTAAATACCAAAATATAAATCCTTTTAAATTTTAACGGATTTCCCTTAAATTGGCAAACAACACATCATTTAACAGGCTGCCACAACATTCAGCCGCAGGAAGGAAGTTAAGTAAGGTGAGATTACGTACAATGGCTTAAATGAAAATGTTTGTGGCTTAAATCTTTTGGATAAATAAATATGTTAAATTACAGCATACAAGTTAAATATTTGCTTAGCTTGTTGTATACAAGTAAATAACAATAATCACAAGAAAATCGCTTATTCCATACTTAAGTCGAAGACAATATTGAGTTAGATAAGTTACAAATTTCCCAAAGAAAGTTACAAAACACATCCAAATATTTAAAGAGCATTTAATATAAAATTCTGCTTTTACTAAATGAATCATTACAAATCGGAAGGAAAATGAAAAAATACCTTATATTCCCCTATGAGTATTTTCCCTTAATGCAACATATTTATTTATAGTAAACTAAACTAAACTAAAAAAAAAACTCTGCAAATTGTATTTGGACCACACAAAAATTGAAATTAGTTTTTCTGAGTCTACATAAAAAACATAGATTACTTTTATAACATTTAGATTTGATTATTATTTTTTTTTTTTTTTAAATAAATTTGCCTAATTGGATTTCCATCGATATCTATAAATTTCTCTCACAGTTTGTCATTTTCAGCAATATTTTGCTATCGAATGAAAAAGCAACAAATCCCAATTGAAAATTGGCACGCTGCAAACATGTTGTAAATGGCCGATAGCAATGAATAATTTTGCACAATTTTCGCAAAATGGCTTTAGTTAGAAATCCCAAAACTGATGATATTTACTATTATTTATTATATGTGTATATTTTATTTTTGATTTAGTTTTATCACATTGGCTGCCATTGTGCTGCGACCTGTACTAAAAGGACAATAAAAGGTAATTCGGCAGTAACAACTTGAAGGCAAACACTTCACTAACTTTGTGTGTGTCTCTGGTGTGTGTTAGTCCAGGTCTTTGTCCTCGATTTCAGTTACGAGGCGCACACCTCAAACTTTGCGCACACTAAGCAGGTGTGAGTGTATGTGCAAACTCATTCACATATATGGAAAGTAAAAAGCAATTTTCGTAACATTTGCATGCCTTAAACCAACACACACTCACAGACCAGTCCCGGAAGCATCAGGAGAGTAGGAGGCAAGGACATGCGGCCTACCTTTCCACGGAGTAACAAAAACTACGATATTGTGTGTGGGTGGGCAAGTGAGCTTGTGTGGGTAAGTTGAATGGAGTACGTGTTGTGTTGAAAATGCAATTTGCCTTCTGTACGAAAAGTACGTAAAATTTATGCAAATTTCTACCGTACTGCCCCTGACCCATGAATTTTTGGGCGATGGCGATGGCGACTCAGCTACAAGCGGAAACAGGAAATGCGCCATTGTGTGCGTGCCTGTGCATGCAGACGTGTGTGTATGTGTGTGTGTATGTGTGTGCATATTGAGACCGCGCTAAAATGAAAATATAGTGAAATATGCGATAGAAGGCGAGCGAAGAAAAAAGAGCACGAACAAATATGTAAGAACAAATATGCTACATATAGGAGACCTGTACTTTACCCTACAATAAATGGCTTATGGCAAAGCTCACACGTACAAGTATCCGACGAAAAATATATTGATGTTAAAGTTGAGATTAAATTCATTGCAATGTCTTATGTAAGTGGAATAGGTTGTATACCAACTTGATAAGCTTAACGAGGATAATTCTATTAAATTTTTAAACATTTTTATTGAAAAGTATTAAAGTGCTGCGACAGAACGAGTTAAGGTTTATTTTAATTATCTGGTCTTTATTACAAGACTACATCCTTTGTTGAATAACCCCAAAAACATACTAATTTGGTGGCAAAGATACACGTACCGTTTTGCGTCACTTGTGTGCATCGAAAAATACACACATTAAGTCCACACATCACCCTTATCAGCAAAATAAACTTTATGGCATCGCAAATGTAACTCACACACATTAAAAAAAAAAAGATCAGAGGGTTATAAAACACGAAAATAAAGCCATATATGTATGAGATTCAACTCAGATTACTTTGATATGTGTGTATATGCCAAACGGTGCATGTATACGCTACAGGGTATATTAACACACAGTAAGCCTGGGTGCGGATGCGTCAACTAGCCCGCTAACAAAAGCAACAGAAGCGACAACAACAATTCGTGTAACGACAAAAGCAACAACGAGGCGTAAATTCGCCATCGATAGTTTTTGACATTGTGTATCCGCCACATGCGGCCTGTGTGAGTACGCGTCTGTGTGCGTGTGCGTTTGTGTGTGTGTGTGTATTAGCGGTGCCACTTATCACATGCGAGGACTCGTTTGAGCGATATAAAGCAAAAGAAGAAACAAAAACAACAAAATATTGTATACTAACAACAGGCCAATGGTCAGAGAAATGTGTGCGTAAAAGAAAAGGCCCCCGGTTATTCCAGTACCCACACATAAAGCACATTGATACCTATAGGTGTATGTGTGTGTGCCTGAAATTGTTTATACTGCATTGCACGTGCCTTTGACATGCCGACATAGCCGCTGTATGCGTGTGCGTGTGTGTGTGTGTGTGTATGTGTGTTTTGGCTTATGGGCAAAGAATCTGAAGCGTATTAAGCAAACAGCGCCGCCGGCAACAACAGCGCTCCTTGCAACACACGTGGGTTTGCCTCACACCCATAGCCCGGCGAAGGCGAAGGGGCATGTGAGGGGTGTGTGGCTGTGTGTGTACATGCTCAAGTATGTTTGTGTGTTGGCTACGCACTGTGTGAGATAAACGACAGCATTTAATGCGTCCAAATCTTTTTAACGCCGCACCAAGCCATTTTTCAATCCAGATCTAAGCATTAAGATTAAGTTGTCTTTAAGTAGCCTCAAGCCGGTATTCCAGCTTTTTGGCGTTCTGCCAACAAGATTTTCTCCGCCACAATTGTGCTCACAAGCGGAGCTGTCAAAAAAGCTAAATCACATGCTTGTACATAATATATAGTATTTAGCTGTCGGTTGCTAAAAGGGAATTTCAAA